TCTCTCTCTTTCCATGCTTAAAATAACTTATAAAACTTATAAATGCTATTCGCAAATGAACTCATGGCTATCCTAAAATGACCCTAAAAAAAGGAGACTACGGATGTGTGTACTATGTCAAGAAAGTTTGGAATTGAGCGCTAAATTGTTCTTTTACCTGATAGTGATTGCCTTCAAACACTCGAATTATCTCTCCTGACACAAAAAAGTAATAAATGGAAACGAGATGCTCCCATTCTCTAGCACAGTTGGCAGCGTCTTGTCACCCTGTGCCATGAAACACTCTCTCGCCGCCCACTGCAAACGGAAATTAGGAGAGAAAAACGCAATGGGAGAAAAAGTGTGTGTGTGTGTGTGTGTGTGTGTGTGATGATGATGATGATGATGATGATGATGATGATGATGATGATGATGATGATGATGATGATGGCGATATGTATTTATTAGCCTGTTTGTATGTTGAATTGTTGATTTATTTGTGAGTTGGTTTGTTACTGTTTAAGGCTAAGAGTTGTACAAAGGACCTTGCTTAATTATGGCAGTTTTGATTTAAAAGTATCATAATATAAACGTTTCATTTTACAGGACATGACGTGGTTTGATCACCCCAAGAATAACACCGGTGCCCTAACCTCTCGACTTGCTATTGATGCCGCGCGTATTCAAGGGGTGAGTCAGTCTTTGTGTGTAGTATTCAGAATCCAAGGGGCTTTTTAGTTAGCGGAAAGTATTTAAAAGCGATACACGTCAATTAAAAGTAAACAAGCAGCAAACTCATAAATAACATTCAGAAGTTTGAATCTGGGCATCGGAAAGTATGCGAAGATTAAGGGAGCACCGCTGTCCAATTTCTACTCTTTTGAGGGGGTTCTGCCACTTGGATCTTGTTGTGGGCCTTGGCTATCTATTATTAAAAATATCGTAGCAAAAAGAAGAAACAACTGCAGAAGTCTAGAGATGTGGCCATTTTTAAACAGGTGGTAAGGGGAAACAGAAGTCTTAACATGCAAACTTAAAATGTTCTGTTTCATTAAAAGTGAACATCTGTGGTTCTTCCCCCTTAGTCTGCGCACATTAGCTTTAACGTGATGTTTGTTTTGAAAAACGATATATTTTAGAATATTACCACACGTGATTGCTGACACAGAAACATTGAGAGGTTAGAGGTTTCCGTGGTGTTTTCAGTGCTCCAAAAGGACAAACTCAGGTGGCCAGAACTCCCTGGCAGTTTAGAAACTCCAACTGGTTGTAGTTGTAATAGACATTGCTCCATCAGTGGAGATATTCGTAAGCTTACAACTATCATTTACATGTATTTATTAAATGACAACTGCGTTTATGAATGTTTTGTATCCATGAAGTTACTTTTTTTCCCCTGTCTCTTTTTGCCAGGTTACGGGTACGCAAATGGGCTTTTTGCTGATGGCTGTCTCAAGTCTTAGCATCGGCGTGGTGGCTGCTATCCTATACAGCTGGCGTCTAACTTTAGCCACTCTGCTCATCCTCCCAGCGCTTATGGGCGCTGGCTTTGTGAATATGAAGAGGGTAGCAGGTGCCTCTTTGGAAATCAAGGAGGCTTTGCTAGATGCAGGAAAGGTAATGAGGACCAGGTTCAGTAGGGGGTAAAGCAGATTTATCGTCAAAATAATAGCCATCTAGAACTGGGGGAAAGTAAAACAGGCGGATTTAAACAAAAAAAGAACCATAAAGAAGTAAAGGTAGAAAGACCTACTTTCTCTATGTAGCATTCCTTTGGAAGCGTGACTCTCTAAAAGCTCCTTTGGCAACTGGGGGGTTTTCAGCGCTAGGTGTCCTGTCTCGGAGATACTACAATAGTTGTTCTGCGTAGGCATGATGCACGCATAAGCTTATTGTTTTGTGTCACCCTGCCACGTTTTCCTTGAATGCATCCTTTTCCTAATTGCTTTTCTATGTTAACATAATATTGTATTTTCTTTATTCTTAAAATTATCAAGTGATTCGCGTTTTGCATTTAGTTTCTTTCATAATTTAGACGTTTGTTCTCTTTAAATGTATGAGATCTTTAGTACTATCCATTCAGAGCTATTGTGTTAATATGAGTATAGCAGATTATACTTGTCCGACAACGCAAATTTGTACGACTGCCAGCATGACCTAAATTTTTTAAGTGGCGTCAGTTCGATTTCATCAGATTCAAGATGCGCCATGAACTGGTGCAATAGTAGTCGCTCGCTAGAAATAGAAATACCACAGCTTAACTAAATTTAGCTCGCAGTAAAGTTAGGTGCTGTTATTCTTCATTCAATAATTAGCCTAACCAACATCAGTGGATATAAGTATAAGTTAAGTAAATTCCTACCCCCCGCCCCCCCCCCCCCCCCCTCTCTCTCTCTCTCTCTCTCTCTCTCTCTCTCTCTCTCTCTGTGTGTCTCTCTCTTTCTCCCTGTCTCTCTCTTTCCATGCTTAAAATAACTTATAAAACTTATAAATGCTATTCGCAAATGAACTCATGGCTATCCTAAAATGACCCTAAAAAAAGGAGACTACGGATGTGTGTACTATGTCAAGAAAGTTTGGAATTGAGCGCTAAATTGTTCTTTTACCTGATAGTGATTGCCTTCAAACACTCGAATTATCTCTCCTGACACAAAAAAGTAATAAATGGAAACGAGATGCTCCCATTCTCTAGCACAGTTGGCAGCGTCTTGTCACCCTGTGCCATGAAACACTCTCTCGCCGCCCACTGCAAACGGAAATTAGGAGAGAAAAACGCAATGGGAGAAAAAGTGTGTGTGTGTGTGTGTGTGTGTGTGTGTGTGTGTGTGTGTGTGTGTGTGTGTGTGTGTGTGTGTGTGTGTGTGTGTGTGTGTGTGTGTGTGTGGAAGGGGGGGGGGGGGGGGGCTGAATGAGCGTTGCGGAAGCGTATTGACAATGTTAAGCCTATGTTACTCTGAGCAAAAATGTTTTTAAAAGGAACATGGGGAGAGTCAGCGGGAAACTGTCCGAAATTTCTTCATGATATAATAATAATAACCAGTTCTGCTGGAATCCTTTTCATCGTCGCAAAGCAAAGAAGTAAGAAGGGGGGAAAGCGGCAATTCCAAAACCTCTGTGTGCGTGTGTGTGTGTGTGTGTGTGTGTGTGTATGTATGTATGTGTGTGTGTGTGAGAGAGAGGGAGAGAGAGAGAGAGTGTGTGTGTGTGTGTGTGTGTGTGTGTGTGTGTGTATGTGTGTGTGTGTGTGTGTGTTTAACAGCTGTGTGTTTTACAAAACTGCCGTAGACAGACAATCAGACAGACAGACAGACAGATATTGTTTTTCGTTGTTTTCTCAGGCTGCAGTAGAAGCAACAGAGAATGTTCGCACAGTTGTTGCCCTCTCAAGGGAAAGTACTTTTATCGACATTGTGTCAGACAAGTTGTCAGTGGTGAAAGAGTCTTCCGTGAACGGCGCTTTTAATGTTGGCTTCATGATGGGAGTTTCACAGGCCGCCAACTTCATGTTCCCTGCAGTGATCTTCGGCTACGGCGCCTATCTCGTGGAGGAAGGTGTTATCGACACTGATGACATCATGATGTAAGAATTCATATTTGTGTTTGATAACTCCTCGGCGCTCAAACGAAAAGTAAAATAAGGAGATCAGTTTAATAATAACTGGACACATTTTCTTTTTCACAACAGTTAAGTGATGATCTGCAGAACAATCCCGGTTGATTTATTACGAAAAGGAATCTCAAAATATCGAAAATAACCATTTTGCGCGTTTTGCGCATGTAACAAAATGAGAGATGACAGATACTTGTCTTTCCTCGGTTCGCTTCAGAACGTTCATGTACATTATATTAGTATGGTGAGTCCTCGCAATATGAAATCCTCACGGGCGCCCGCCAGCCTTTCGATCATCGGCCTGATATCTGACGATGCCAGATATTTTGCCGAGGTGGTGCACTTCCTTTGACTTTTCTCCAAGCGATTAAAATTTTTTATTGATATCATTGTCATAATCAGCTCAGATCAGGAGCAAATTGGTAACAAGTTAAGAGTGAAAAACAGGCTGAACTCGCAGAGATGTTCAAAGGTCCTGGGTTCGAATCCGGGTAGCGATCGAAAAATGTTCTGTTCTAAAATTGCCTCCTTTCACCTCCTTTCTTGCTCTCTAGCAATGTTCTGTCGTCTGCTTTCGTCTCCACTTTCTGCCCCCATCCCTTCACTCCCTTTGCCATCTCCTCTGGGCTCCTGACTCTTTCTGCAGCTCTTCTACTGCTACTCACTGGCTCCTTCTTACTCTGTCTTTCGGTTACACCCCTGATCTTCTGGTTGGAAAGATCTACACTTAGCCTTATCGGACAAGGGCGAAAAATCTCGGAGGGCCCGTTTGCAAGTTGCGCACGTTAAAGATCCCTTGTTGGTCTAAAATCGATAAGAGTAGGCTTCGGCGGCCACCCCGGGCAAAATTCAAAATTTCCTATCAACTGAAAAAATGTAATGTGTCCCGCGCGCTCATATGACCTTATGCAATTGCGAGCGCCGTAAAGCACTTACCAAAAAAAATATTTAAAAATCAGAGACATATGTGGGAAAGAGATTATCAAGCAGCCACCAAGTCCAAGTGAGTACTGCGCGTCTTGTACGTCTACTTCTGGTGGCCAATTCACTGGTGGTGCAGCAGTGCAAATTTATAATAGTTTAATAAGGACTGCACGACTCAGAAAGGTGTAAATGTTATGTTTATATATTTAGGCGTAGCTTTTTTGTACATTGGCAAAACCTGGCTGCAAAGCAGGCTCGTGGTACATGTACAACGGGGGGACAGTCCAGTGAGGATTGGCTGTGACTGTGTGTATGTAGATGTATGAATGTACATCGTGATGTACGTGTCATGTCATCTCCCAGGGTGTTTTCGATACTGTTCTTCTGTGGCACACTCCTCGGTTCTGCTTCTGCACTGATGCCGGACATGGGCAAAGCAAAAGCTGCGGCAAAGAGAGTCATTTCCCTGCTTGATCAAGTCCCAGAAATTGATTCATTGTCCTCATCAAGAGAGCATCAAGATTCGGTAAGAGTTTGATATAATATGCATACTTGTCCGCTTTTATCTCCACTTAATCTTGGAGAATTATTTTGTATTTAGTAAGGTTTTACAGCGCTCACAACTGCATAAGGTCATATGAGCGCCAAGGGGTGGATGTCAACAGAGAAGTCCAAACAGGGAATCAGGCTTACTCTGTTCACCTCTCTAGCCTCAACAGAAGTCTGCATCGACTCTCAAGGTACCCCGGAAATAACAATTCAAAAGAGATTGACAAACATACAAAAGAAGTAGAGGGAAAATGACGATAGTAAAGATGATGGGGGGG